GCACTTCCAGACAATACTTTAAATCGCTAATAACTTCTGAAATACTGATCCAAAAGTTGTTATCCACCAATAATTTTCTTAATTATTTCATTTTATATTTTATAAGCTAGTTTAATAGCTGCCATCAAAAAAATTAAATTGACACTCCTATAAGGCATAAGGGATGTACCAAAAAATTATTTTTTAACAGATAAATGGAGATTCATGTGTAACTATCAAAATGAAAAAAAAATAAATAAAAAAAATTTTTTTAAGAGAAATCGAGTGGCTAGTGTTAAAAGAATAATCTAGTATATGTACATGGTTGGGTAAAAATATTTTACATTTGTTGTGAATAGAATTTTTATAATCAACATTCCTATTAATTATCTAAGCATGTATTTAATTACAGTTTTTATTATTCTATTACGTAATTAATCTACTCGTTATCATTAAAATACGGACGAATAAAAATTTTCTTGAAAGTTAAACAAAAAATTATTATTGAAAAAATAAAAAGAAAGTACAACTACTAATTAAAATGGAATTATATGGTTACTCTAGTTTTTTTTTTTTTAATCCAAATGCATTTAATTTTAATTTAAGGAATGAGAATATAGACCCGTGAAAGGGGATAAAAATACTTCTAAGGCATTTGTGCCAATTATAAGAAGCTACAAATGAGGATGCGCCAGGTCGACGCAGAAATAACCGGTGTAAAATTTTGTCAAAAAATTTGGGAATCCTAAACAAATTAAAAGCGTATTGTCTAATCTCGGAAGTACGCGGGTCAACAGATAATTAGATGACGTGGGAGAGATGATTAGATGGCATTGGGGGTAATATGAGGACTGCTGCAGAGTATATAGTTTACGTAAGAGATCGTGTCAAAAGGAGGTTCAACCAGATAGTTAGAATAAAGGCGAGAGCGAATAAGAAGAAGAGTAGGAAGCCGCAAATAAAGTAAGTAATGGATATCACTCATATAATAGGTGTTTTATGAAATACATTTTATGCAATATACTAAAATATGAAATCCGACCGAGAACAAAACATAAATCGAAATTTAAGTGAATATAATATTTAATAACAAACTCAATATGGATCTGAATAAATCCTATCAGCTATATTTAACTGATAATAATAATAGTCGTATTTATAAAAATATGAAATTATGTTAGAGCTCAAAAAGATTTATTATTAGCTCTATTCATTTTTTAACTCGTATAGAATGGAATTATTATGTAAGCTATATACAAAGTTTCATACAAGCTGTACGTTCAAACAGGAAATTTATAGTTTCATTCAAGCTAATTAATAGGTTTGCTAGTACACATTTGCTAAACAAATAAATCGTGTACGCATGATTAGCATACTAAAGAAAATTATAAGTTTTGCGACAGCATATTATGTATTGTAACACTCATGATACTACAACAGTTTTTCTATTTATAACAATAATTCCTCCTAGATTGGAATCAATTTTATATTCAATGAATATTTGTTTTTCAATAAACCACAAAAAAAAATTAAAAACCAATCGTTTCCCGTAAATTTCGTATTAAGATTATTTCAATTCATTAATTAGATGATCACGTCAAAATATACGTTATAATATTTTGAATTTGATAATCGGCGTCAGGTAGTTAAGACACGTTATATAAAATTATAAAAAAGCAAGTACAACGTGGAAGTTGGGAAAATTACTATGGACCTAAATATGTGTGAACCGCAAAAAAAAATGAAAAGAAATAAAATATTTGCAAATAAAAAAACAACCGTGTCATAAATCATATTTATATTTAATACAAATATCCACCGAGCGTTAACATGGGTCTTTGCCAATGTCGAAGTCGCCGTGGTGGTCTGTCGTGATTGGCGGTCGTGCGCGGCTACGGATAACGGGAAATTCTCAGTAGTATTAACCATGGCGATTAAGTTTCAACGGTGTTGGATACGATTATTAAATGTCGTCAAGTCATGAACGAGAAAAAATTTAATAACAATAATAATAATCGGAATAATACGCAAACAAATAATAGTCCATGTCAAAGAACTGGTGTAGGTAGCGCGCAAAGCGAATAATCCATCAGCTAGAAGAAGAACTTTGAAATTCGAGGGCTGCATATAATATAAATGGGTTAAATTTATTTATTTCCTTCGCTATAATAAGAGTTGAACGTGCATATTATTTACTATACAGATGCCACAGTGAAGTAATATATTATGAAAACAAACGGGATGGAATTCTTTACTGAAGAGATATCAGAACGTATCAAAAAGGATTAAAATTTACATACGAATATCACACCAAAATATCAGTTAATAACTTATTATTACATAAAATAATTAGTTTTAATCATTGTAGATACAACCCAAGACAAAAAATGGATTAGCAAACATCGGTAAAAGACAGTAATAACTATATTTTTTAACTAATATTGGTCTATTTTCAACATAACGATACATCAAAAAACTTATATTCGAATACATTAAATTTAAAAATTTATATTAAAATGAAAGATATTAAAACAAAATAACCACTACATTGGAAAATTCATTCGCGTACAATTTATGTTATGTATAAAAAAAAAATTCAATAAACATAATTAGAAAATATTAGAACTGCGAGTATGGTATGAAGTCACGCAATAAAAATTTACTGAAGGCTTAAAGAATATTTTCCGTAGAAAAAAAATGAAATATCTAACTAACGACATACCGTATCTGGTCATCGACCATATGAAAATGTGATACTTTGTCAATGAAAAACGGCAAAAAAATACATAATATTATACAACCTGTTACGTTCCACAGTTTTCAATATGCAATCCGTATCAGATTTGACGGTCTTGTAAAATTATAAAACTAAATCCTTTAAAATAAACATGTCACTTATGAAAATAAATAGTAGTAAAACTTTATATTAACTCGAATCTTATTGAAAACTGGTCGTGGCACATTCGTATTTTTAATGTAATTATTGTCAATAAAATATACAAAACACGTGTAATAGGTATTTGCCATAAAAGTAAACATGAACGCATCATCAAGGTAAAGTACTCGATGAATGTTTAAGCAATAAAGACGTTCAATGAGTAATCAAAATCAAACATATAAAAATTATAAGTAAATACTTATAATTGCTAAAGCAAATGACAGCGGATGTACGATATTAATTAATTTTCTAATAATTAATTTGTTATGGTGAACATCATTTCTATCATCATTTTCACGTTTGTAAAACGGTCAGTGGCAAACGTTGTTAAAACCTACTCATTGTATTTCTATGCAGTGGTCTGATGTGTTTTGTTCTCTAATCAACGACAAAAAAAATAATTTTTCAATTTTGTCGATTCATAAAATATAATAAAATTGTAAATATTACAAAAATTATTATTATTGAATTACTACGATGGAAAAATGCTTCTCAGAGAGTTTTTGTAAAGTTCGTGTTGCAGTGTCTCTTTCAAAGGAAATTACTAAAAGATGGACAAGGGTCTTTTTTTTCTCATTACATGTTTGGGTATAGTTCAACTTTTGTAGTTTTTTATAAAATCGGTTTTACGCAAGACGTTAGAATATTAAAAACGGAATGCCTACTAAAAATTTAATTCAAAGTGATCGTATAAAACTTTGTTTCCACGTAAAAATAGTTTAACTGAACAAACAGAAACCACTTCACAATATTGTTTTTAGAACTAAAAATAGATGTAATAAGTGTAAAAAATTTAAATCGTTTCAAAAACAAAAACGAAACCTTTCAATGCCGACGATTTTGAAAATGTATTTACTATCGTACACACACAAAAAAAAAAAAAATGTTCAATCATACTACATATTTTAAGCCTTGGGGAAAAAAAGTTCTGAAGTATAACACCAATTCGTAAGATAATTAGAAAACAATTTTATCATAAGAATTGTATGAAATAAAGTTAAAGGTTATTACGTTTCTATAATACATTTGANTTGGGGAAAAAAAGTTCTGAAGTATAACACCAATTCGTAAGATAATTAGAAAACAATTTTATCATAAGAATTGTATGAAATATAAGTTAAAGGATATTACGTTTCTATAATACATTCGAATTGGATCGACCAATTGGATCTCATTTTATCGAGACCAATATCTTAAAATTGGACACATTTATAGCTTTTGTTTGTAACTTGAGTATATTAAAACAACATCTAAAGTCTGACCTATATTAAGCAGCATTTTGAAAATACACATGGGATTCGCGCAATAACTCGGACCAGTCGAGATGATAGCCTGGGTTCATTGAATTGTAAAAAAAAGATACCGTACTTTATTTTGCCGCAAACGCCATTATTTGTATTGTTTTTCGTTTTCCAACTGAATCGGTCACTAGTGTAAATCCTCTTCAGTCGGATTCCAACGTGAATGAATGACACGCGCAAACAACAAAAAAAAGTTCATTCATTCGACTCACGCACACGCGGTCGCCCATCCGTCATTAAGAATTCTTAAGAGACAGTTGTCTGCATTTGAATTTCGAATACATAGTTTTTCGCCGCAGAAATAATTGTTGTATCATGTACCGCCTCCTATCGGCTGGGCTTTTATAAGCCGACCATGTGAAAATTTTAATACGTGTCTTAATGATAATTTTGCTTTTAAAGACTGGAACGTTAACGGGATATTAAGTTTCATTAGTCATTGTTCTAACAACTAAACGGTATTCAATTAAAGATACCCTAAACACAATGTATAGCTAAAGAAAACAAATTAAATAACATAGCGAATGAAATAAAGCGAAAGGAGCGCAGAAGATTAAACAAGTAAAAATAACACACACACCGTACACAATGTTATAAGTTGGTAAAGCTTGGCAAGAGTGTGTGTAAAAATAATAAAGTATACAGTATAGAAGTAAAAACACCACAAACACCATGCACATTGTATAATACAAATTCGTCATATCATATCAAATATATTACAATAGCGGAAACACAGGGGCAGGTGACAGCCAAAAGTTCTACGGGATTTTCGTTTGTTATACCTGAATGATATCTTTTTTCATTATGTGTGACCCGTCTTTGTGTGCGCCTGGTTCGATGCTGTTGATGCTGATGCTGAGCACTCGGCTGTTTGCTGTTGGACGATGCCGACGTAGGGGGAACAGCTGCAAAGTACACATTTGCTTTTTCAACAATATACGGGCACGTGCACACATTATAAATAATAAATAAAATAATTTTTTTTAAATTGCCCGACAACGGGAATAAACATTTCCTATACACAAAAGAAGTATAATACAGACAGAGGTGCTATTTTTTTCATCACAACTTTAAAGTTAACGAATTCAATTTAATTTCAGAGTTTTCCATTACTCATAGAACACTGAACTACCATCACGTTGGTTTAAATACATAAAGACAATCGTCATCAAGCTCAACAATATTAAATCTTCTTAAAAGTTTTCTTAATTTAGCATCATATATTCTATACTAGACTAGGCAGTCGTTTTCGAGAATATTTTCACTGTTGTGTAGTTTACACAAGTTGGCCGCTACATTATTTTACGGTCAACGGATTCTCATTCGTTTCGAATCCAACAGAGTTTTAATCTTTAAAATGAATAAACATCGCATATTTTAACACATTAACTGAATAATCCACTGCCCTCTGCTCTATTGAAAAATAAAACCGACAAATTTCAAAACGAGCGAAACTATTAGCGCTTTTACCACATAATAAATTAGGTCTGTAACACCAAACTGCCGAATTTTGCTCGCCTTATTACCAACTTCCATTTCACCTTAAGCACATTCATGTACACGCTAAATTTGTTAACAGCGACAGAAAAATGGATGTAAAACATTTATCGCGCTTACGAAAGTTACAACGATGCGGCGGCTCGAAGGAAAATATGTACACAAATTTATAGTACACCGTATGGTGTGTCAAATTTTTGTTTCGAAAATAATAAAATAAAAATAAAATGTAGGTCAAATTTTAAAGATCCGGGAGGAACACTAGACTAACAAGAGCTAAGTAGTTGTTACAATAGAGGCTCTAAGGGTAGAACAGTACACAACGATGAAAAATAAAACCCGTGTATGTTAGAAGGGCAGATTAAGTTTTCTCGTGCGCACAAAGATCCGAAAAAATACTTCATGTATGTACAAAATGTAAACATTCAAGTCGTTTAAAGTAATCCCGGTAGTGCGTTTCTTAGGGGAAAATTGTTATCTTGAATTTTTAATGAAAAATGGTTTAATGAGTAGTACATGAGTTCTCTCAAGTATTACTTGACAGCTTATTCAAAAGGAATAACTTTAAATTCTTCGTATTGGTTCGCATTAAATAATTTAAATGCATCAAAAGTTTCAAAGGAAATTTTCTACGGTAAATTTGACAAATAACTTCCAGGAAAATACGAATAAAATAAACAGTACGAGTTTATTATAAAATGTTTCGTATCGACTTCAAGTACTAAAATTATATTAATTTCTTACCGTATAAAAAAAACATTTATACTCGATTGCAGTCGTGTTCTTTTAACTTAGAAAAAGATTTTAAAGAATACAACTGATATGTTTACGGGGGGCAAAGCAAGAATGTACTCCTTCTAAGCGACTAGATAAATAATATTAGAAGAATAAAAATTATAATAGAAAGCCTGAAAGATTTACATAGAGACTAGTAAAAGTTTTTTTACCGTTTAAACAAAATTAAATTTATCGACACTATAGTGTCGATAAATTAATTCAAATCGATAAAAACAACTGTAGTAATTCTAATCGAATTGAACAAATAAAAAATGGGTAGTGTGACATAACAATAATACCTAAGATTTTGAAACACATCCGAAATAAAAAACATAAAATTCTTATTGGTTTTATTATTATGGGAATTCAAGATAAGAGAATCTATGACACGAGAATAAACCGAAGAAGCTACGATTAAACATCCATAAAGTAAAACTTAATCCTTACGCAAGTATTACAATTTTGAAAGTTTTTAGGCTTTCAAGTTGAAACAATGTCGTAAAAATGATAAGTGATAAAATGTCTAATGAAATAGGTCAACTGGACAACATTATGAAACCACAGTAGAAAAAAAGGATCGGAAATGTTGTTTTCAATTTGTGTTATTTGACGACCAAATTTTTGTTGAACAAAAATGAGAAAAATTTCGCAACTCATACAAACCTTGTGTCTGTTTAGGGACATACGGAGCCAGAAGTCTCGTTCTCTTCTTCTCGTATCCTTTTTGGGTGATGTCACCTGCAAACAAACAAAACATAGTGAATAAATGTCAAATATTCGACATAGAAACTTACGGATTGCGAACAAACAAATGTTCTTAAATAAAAATGGTAAGTTTAAAATTGAATTCGGTATATAAAATATATATGATAGAATTCAAATATTATCAGCGAGTGATTAGGAGTACCGACAAATGTTATGATTACAACATTTATTAAACGTTGTTTGGTGCAATAACATCAAAATTGCAACATTAGATAAATGAAATTTTTATTTTTAAATCTTCTACTATACTAACGCGTCACTAGTTACATCAGGAAAATGAAAAAAATTTATTATTTCTAACAATATTTCGAAACTTTATATTACTTTTCTACTTATAAAGCTCAATGATTTCTTCTAAAAAGCCGTGTAAACACAAAAAATAGCCAATTATAAATTTTTATTTTTAAACAACACTTTGATGGTTTTTAAAATATCCGTAACTGTTTTCAATGGAAAATTATAGCGAAATAAGCAAGTAGTTAATTTTTTATTGTACATAAATAATATTCAACATAAAATAAATAAATATCAAGTATTTTTAGCGAAAAGCTATTTTTTGCAATTATTCTTAAACAAACATTTATTAGAAAAAAGTAATTCACCATAATAATTCCAGAAAACTAGTTATGAAGTAAATTGATGTGGCGCACTAATTAAAATACACTGAAAATGTAGTTGTAGTCTTTTATTTAAAAAAAAACTTTTTTTATTTTATACTCGTTTATGAAAACATATTTTTTCATATTAACTAACGAATATGTCAAATTTCAAAATTAACAATAAATCTTTATAATCTATTGTATTAACATTTGTAATAACACGCCGATTTTAATGTTTCAAAACTAAAACCAAATTCATATCATTTCTCGATGAAGTCGATAAAAGTTTACATAGAATTACGGCCGTGTTATGATTTATTACTTTTAATGTTATCACATAGAAAAACAAATGTATGACACATAAAATGCAATGATGTAATTTTGTTGAAAATATCTACATAAATATTTATTTAAAAATGTGCGATTCAAATCCAATTCAACGGCAAAAAATACATAAAAAGTACTATTTGAGCACTTCGGATAAAAGAAGAGAAGTGTCAAAGACAATAATAGGAAATTCAATTGTTTTTACATGGAAGTAGTACATAATGTATTGTTCGTGAATGATAAGTGGAAGTGTGTACAAGTGAGTCATGAAGTGAAATTAGAGTATATCAGGTAAAACGAAATCTTTATGGGGGTAAATATGATTGCAACTGTGAATATTATATGATTAATTTACAATTTTATGTAAAATGCTCATTTAAGCAACAATGCCATTAATATAATATTGACAAAGATATGTGATGTTACGAAAATGCATCTCTAAATAATTCCTTTAACATTCTCTCGGAAATCATTTGGAAAATAAATATAACTAGAATGTGTGTAGGTTATTGCACGAGACAGCGTTACATTTATATTCATTTACCACTTAATTTCGAACGAGTATCGCAAAAAAATATTAATCTGAAAATAAACAACAAGCCTTGTGAAGTTCCGATACTGTGTAAAGTCCATATAAAACTCGAATGAAATACTGCAAAGTATTATCTGCGGTGGGGGTGACGACGGCTCAAAGTTCAGGTACTGTAAGTTTTCACATGGTGTGTGTGTGAATAAAATAAAATATCGCCAAACGGTTTGCAGCGAAACTGTACAAATCGGTCGAGTTGCGGCGAAGAGGAACACGCACTGCGGATGATCAATAGTCGCCACGACCATTAGTTATCGTATAAAGTGGTGCGTTGACATAAATGCACTTAAGCGACGATTGACGGGGGGTGGGGGGAGGTAACGATAGAGATTTCAAATTGAAACATATTTTTTCAAACGAGTACGGAACTCGACTTTGTCGATGGACGTGAAACATTACGATTTCCGTGCATTTGACGCGCGTTGATCAATGACAGCAGCTGTTATCTCTGAATAACACGTTATTCTGGAAGGAGATAAACGATTTTATATCGACTCATATGACCGACAATGTGTCAAATATTGTTGTACACGCGAATACTTATGAACAACAACCAGCGAGCACTTGGACCGGGAGCGGCACAGTAACGTGGAAAAGTATTAGACTGTCAGGAAAAGAGATGGGAATTTCTGAAAAACGCGAGCATTACAAGAATATTGCTGGGTGTGATTATTATGGACAGTTTGTCCGGATTCTCAAATAATTGACTAGTGTTAACACCCCTACGTCGCTTAAAACTAGATACATTCTCCGTCTACAAGTTTCTCACGGCATTCCGGATTTGACTAAGATATGTGCGATCGCGTAGAAGTGTTAAGTTTTCAGTACGAAGCTTTGACTTTGATTGACGAATGACGTAAAGTTAGCCCGAATATATTTAATAGTAATTATATAACGTAAATTCGACTGTTAGATTAATTGTTCAGGCCGATAGGACTATCGCACACATTCCGATAGTAGATGACAGACAATTACACCGTACAAAAAACGCATGTGAGAACGTCGGAATGGCGTGAAAACCTTTGTTGCCCCCGGGGCTTAGACCGAGTTGTAAATCTAAAACTTAGTTAATAGAATATAAACGCATATATCGAAACGACACGTTTGGACGTCGACCAAACATGGTGCGGCCGTGAAGTATGGAGAAAAATAACTGGTAATTAACAGCCAGATAAAGATATACGACGGCATATTATCCGTGTAGAACTCGTGTCGCACTGTATGAATTTCAAACGGACTGCAGACAAGTCACAGTGTAGTTCTGTGGGCCGAGTCCCATGAATAATAAACATCACAAACGTATACGACATGCAAATATAATTGGCCACGACGGCTGGTCTATAAGATTGTTTTTTATTCTATTTGTCTTATACCTATCGATACGGGCCATTGTTCTTTGGTGTTGACGTTCAATACCTGCGGCACAATCCTTATTAGTTCGCGTTCTCAGATTGTCGCAGAAGAAAAACGATAAAAAAACAATGTCGACAATACTCGCGGCTTAAAACCGCACGGTCATCGAAGTGGACCTAGCAGGAAAGATGAAGTTATATTTTCGCTATGCGACTAAAGGTACTCTCAACAAAGACTCAAGATACTGCGACCACAGGTTGCGACACACTTTGTGTTTGTCGAATATCATGTACAGATCTATTATTGTAAAATGAACTTGAGGACAAAATGTATAAGCGTTGAGCTCCGAGTTAAAGATCTATGAAGGACGCATTTATCAATAAGCTGACAACAACACCACTCGTTTGCGAAATTTTACTGTTACCGTAAACGAATTTCCTTCGAGTTTTGTTTCCTTTTTTATTTTCAAGTATGACATGAAGTGTTGGAAATAGTCATATAAAAAAAGTAATAAAAAATAATACATTATTGTGTAATTATATTCCATTTTATGTACCATAGACAGTGTTAATCCTGATTTTTAAATCCCAACTGTAGTAAACACGTTTACTACAGTTTAATTTGCCTCTAAATGATGTCCGTCTATGAAAACGATTAAACGTATTGGAAATTGTGCTTCGGTTAATCGTTCAAAATTGGATTTCATCATAAAACAGCAGAAGAATAAAATATAAACGACCTATAACGGAGAACGTTAAAAAAACCAATGTTGACATATTTACCCACTGATAGACTGAGGCCTAACACAATATCGTATTGTTGCCGATGTCTCAGAGGACGTAACAATATTCCTATTGTTGTACTCGTGATACGTACTGGTTACAGGATGTCATTCTCAGAGGATATAAATTTAAGAATAAGTTGATATCACAGTATATGTTGTATACACACACACACACGGTTGTGACAATCGAAATCGATAAAAACGTTGATTTACTTGAATGCATTTCCGTCGCAGGAACCAATGAACGAGGCGCCAGGGAATAAACGTTCAGTAGATACTAAGCGTTTTTTTCTTGATCAACTTGAGCTACATGGAACAAAATAAACCTTACACTTTTATTGGAAATTATAATTCGGTCAACTGACAGACGATCTAATTAAAGCCATAAAGTACGGAACTTAAACGCCTCTATGTTCAGCTAAATTACCGTAATAACTTTTTAATTCATTCCTCATGGCGGCTGGATAACACGATAAAGTAAATATACAACAGCGGCCTTTATTATAAATACATGAAAATAAGGGTAGTGTATAATTTATTACAACTATGGTATTTAAACGCAATTAAAATGCAAACCAGCATACCGCGATTCGTCTCCACTATTACCAATCCAAATGTTTGAGCGCGAAAATCAAATAAAATACTATACATTGTTAGATTAAAATTCAGAGAATATATGATACATTTTGGAGAATGGTACTCCAAATAAATAGAAGTGATAAGTCCGATCACAAACATACACACACGCTGTCTATTATTACTGATAGTGGAGTTCTCGTTTTAGGGAAATACATAAATCCCCTTTTGGTATAAAGTCTGAACAACCCTGAGGCTAGCCGAATTTGCTTGGAAAGTTTCTAATTGGTCGCTATGGACACTTTTTCTGTTGCTTGGTTGGCACTCTTACATATTCGAAAAGGCATCGTTAAACTATTCAGAACACTTCAACTACAGTTCTTGTAAATAGTCTATCTATTTATATACGTGTGTACACTCACTAAGTGAGTTATGAGAAACAGTAGTGTAAATACGTAATAGAGGTAGTCTCGGATGTTAAAAACAAAGGGTTTTATTTTACAGCACAACCCATCGCCATTAAATCTTTACAGCTGTCCATTAGCAGTAGTCAACTATTGTTGACTTTGGACAGCTGTCATTGTCGCTAAATGCACACGTGATATAGTCTTTCAAAGTCTTATATTTATTATTAAAATAGATAGAAAGCAACGTAATGCAAATTAAAAAAACAATTAACCTGTACAGAAGGTTGTACGAGAACATATTTTATGAAACATTGTTAGTTACACTGATAGTTCCTAGA